AAAAACATATAATTGTATTGTATTTACCAATTTTTCAGACACAAAATTATATTCTTTTCAAAATGTCAGCCTCGGGTTTATTTTCTAAATATTCATAAAATTTTTATAAAACATATTCATATATAAAAGAAAGAGTGTATTCTAATTTAAATCACACTCAAGCTATAGTCTCCAAACAACGATGCTTCTCCTAAAAATTATCAGGGTCAATTTTAAAGCGCCAATTAGTTGGTTATTTGGCTTGGTCGGTTTCTAAGGCAGTCAAGTTAAGTGTTAAACCATAAATGAGGCATTTCCTATATGCTTAAATATACTTTGTTTTTAATGTTTTTAAATTGCTTTTCGAACTATTCTGATTTTGTTTAAAAAAATCTTTAAAATCCAAGATGGTTTTACCAAGCAAGATGGTGGAAATTTGGAATTTTACGTGTAATTTTTGGCTAGTGATGATTAAGTGATGTTGTTAAAGTAGACAAGTTCGGATGCTTTACACACCATACAAGTTTGATTACTATAGAGTAGAGACTTCTGGAAATAAATGCATGGAAAGTAGGGGTTGGGGGTGGGAGGCAGAAAGACCCCAACCATTATTAGCACCCGTCACTCTTAGAGACTATGGAGTTGCGTTCTACTAAGTGGTTCTGGTTTTGCGGTGGGTGTGGCTGAAAAAACCAATGCGGAAATGACATTTTGACACCACCCTTTGTCAGCAAGTTAGCAAGGTAACATGTTAGCATGTTAGAATGCTAACATGTTAGCATGTTGGCATGCTAGTAGGCTAACATGCTAGGATATGTTAGCATATGTTAAGATGTTACCATGCTAATATGTTAGCATGATAGCATGCAAACTGGTTAGCATGTTAGCATGTTAGCATGTTGATAGGCTAGTATGTTTGCATGGCAGCATGCTAATATGTTAGCGCACGTTAGCATGATAGAAAGCTAACATGCTAGCATATGATAGCACATTAGCATGCTAACTTGTAAGCAAATTTTAGCCTGTCGGTACGCTAACACAGGCTAACATGTTAGCATTTGTTAGGATTTTAGTAAGGTGACATGCCGGTTGGCATATGTTAGCATGTTAGCATATGTTAAAATGTTAGCATATGTTAAAATGTTAGCATGCTAACACAGTTATAAGAGCGTCTTTAATATCATTTTTTTTCGAGTGCACTCTAAATTATACTTTGACAGCTAAAAATAGTGGTGTTTTACCATCACACACTCTAAGTGCGACCAGAGTCCACCCCCGACCTTTTCATATGAGAGTTCCCCCCTTCCAGGGGAGGGCGCTTCCACAAGGTGAGTTTTGCTCTCATTTAGCTCAATGTTTAGAGGATTATAGAAGAGCTAATTAATCATTATTTTACTAATCACGTTTGGTAGTTTCAGTCCAAAGGTCCGGAGAAAAAAAAAAAGGTAAGCAATTTTTTTTAGCTATCTGCTAGGCCTTGTTAAATTTGGATTCGACATTTTAATTTGTCACGTTGGCAAGGAAAACCTTACGTAGCTCTAAATTGATACAGTTTTTCTATGGATATACACTGAAATACTTTCCGTAATTCCGTTGAATTCTGATCACCGAAATGCCTGAGCTTGCGATCGCAGACTAATGCATTGCCTTTGCGTAAAATTGAGCTACCCTCAGGACCACCTGAGGATTATCTTTTGGGGTCCCGCGTTTTAGTAATCCTGTTTTTAAATAGGATTTTTTTTATGCGTTCCGGATTTTAGTAATTTTGTGCCCCGGTTGTAGTATTCCGGTGTTTCGTTGTTCCTAAAGTTGTTTTGGTACAGACGTAAAATTAGAGTACGTTGCATCACTCGATAAGGAAGTAAATTTACGTGTAAATTTTATGTCTAAGAATGTCCAGAATCATTTCTGTGATGCAATCATTTTAATCAGTTTTGGGAAAGGGGCTTAACCCGAAGGCATATATACATGTATCCGTAATATATAGTGTAGTAAAGGATATTCAATGGACATTATAGACTCTACACCCACTTTAGAAAACAACCGGATACATAAGCTCATTTAATAGCGTACATGTATATCAAGATTTTTTCTCTTTCTTTTTTTTTAATGAAGACCCTGAAGATATAAAGACATGAATGATTGTCACAGTTATATTCACAAATTAAACAACTGTGAAAAATCCAGGCTAGTATGGGATTTGAATTGAACCCATGATCTCTGTGAGGACTGGTGCAGTGCACTACCAACTGAGCTATCAAGCCAGTCGGGAGAATCAAGTGTGGAATTTTTAGGTTCAGGGCGAAATCTTTTCTTTAAACCATTTTCTTTTTTCTCTTTTTCCCCACGTGTACCTCACGTCAAGTTATTAAACATCCATTCAAAATATTCCCAACTGTTACATGTGTTGTACTCCTTCATGACATTTATTGTGTACATTAATTGCTGTCACAGCCCTTGTGAGGACAATGTTCATCCAAGTGCAGGAAACACCAAATCCAAACAGTTTAAAGTTTGTTCCGGGAGTACAAGTCTTGGATTCTGGTACAGTCAACTTTCCTAACTCACAGGCTGCATTTTGCTCTCCACTAGCAAGGTAACAGCTGTGTAGTATTTAACAATTATTGGACAAGGTTGAGCAAAAGACCGTGATTTGTCAGTGTCTCGCAGATCAATTATTTGGGTTCGGCAAATAATTGATCTGCAAGACACCAACAAATCACGATATTTTGCGATAACTGAGCTCATTTTAGAAAACTCTCAGACAGCTCGGAAGAGCGATCGGCCATTTTTTACCCAAGAGCATGGTCACAATTGCACATGAACAGAATATTATTTGCAGCAAAACATAATATTTAGATGGTATTACACATGAGCAGAACATTATTTGTAGGCAGTTATTTGTAGGTCACGTGGTGGGCTCTCAGCCAGTGAAAAGGACAAAAAAATGCATCAAATGATAATTATATTTATTGTACAGTTTTGATAGAATTAAATACAAAGAATGGAAATTTCAAATATGAATTATTTCAAATATGAAATAATTCATATTTGAAATAATTCAAATAATGAATTATTTCATAGATACTTTACATCAGAATTAAATACAGCACTCATACAAGTCATATGGAACTACATGAAGGACCAGAGCAGCATATTTTCTATTTCCTAAGTAGTAAGGACATTGATGATGTCATTTCCTGATTTTTCGCTTTCGTTTGTGCAAACAATCAGTTTTGTAGATATAATAATAAGAAAATTACATCATGATGGTAGCTTGAAGAAATTATGAATTTTATTTTCTCATATTGAATTAATCAACATTTTTTTCTCACTCACTGCAAGAACACTTTTTTTCCCTAGTTTATAACTTTATTTGTGTTTTGCAGAAGTCTATTCCGAATTCAAGGTGTAACAGGAGTAATGTTTGGACCAGACTTTATCACAGTCACAAAGGTAAGAGGAACAAACTGTTCTCTGTAATAGGAGACACTACATGTAACCAAAATGGCATTTAAATAATAACTATCATGGTAGGTAAAGGTGATGCATTTGAGTTAAGTAGCCCATCAGGCTGGTACTTATCTCCAGTTTCAGTAGCATGAAGTGACAAGGGGTATTTCTACTCGCTCCTGGATGGGACGCCAGTCTATCGCAGGGTTATCCCCCAACATTAACAGGGCTCAACACTAACTTTTCAACTTGTTAGCCCTTAGTGACAACTTAGATGTTACTAGCCAAAAAAACATTATACTAGCCAAGTGTTGACATTGGCTGGGTGCAACGACAGTGGACATTTGAGACTTACACCTTCTTCCTGAGCAGGTTGTTTCTTTTCAGAACTCTCGTTTTTTGGCTTTTTCTCTTTTACTGCCTGTGAATAACCCTCTTATATCCATTATGGAATTTTAAGAAAAAAACAAAACAAAAAAACAATGCAATTTTGCATCTGAAACGTATTGACCAGTTGAGATATAGTCAGAACACCTTGTGTCACGCTTGACTGGTAATGTAAAACACCAAATTGCACTGGTTTTAATTTTGTTCAATGGCCTCCTGTTTTCCTCACATCAAATCTCTCAAGCCAACAGATCACAAAGAAAAATCTAGTGATTTTCCTGAAAAGACTTTCATGACTCTGTTTTTCTTTGAGACTTTCTTGTAAGAATATTGAGACCCTGAGACATCATTGTCAAGTCTTCTTCAGTCTCCTCACAGACAGGAACTGTAGAATTCAAACTGTTTCAAAAGCAGCATTAGCGAAATTTGACTGCTAATAAATGTCGAAGGAAATAAGTTTTTCTCGTCTAATTATTTCTGCAGTGGTAAGTTTTGTCAGTATATGGAGACAACGACAAATCACCTCTATGTTGTTACGCAAAATGAAATGTAATCCCTTTACAATTCCGCACGATTTTGTGCATGATTTTATCAGGATGCTCAAGACATGTTTTGTGCTACTAATTTTGTAACAAGAAAAGAACATCGATATGTGCTTTCAGAAAATACTGTCTTGTTTGTCAAGTATTACTTTCAACATAATATCATGTTCAGTTTTTATACTTTTTCAAGTACTGCACAGCGAAAAGCAAACAAGATATGTCCACAATGAATTTCTGACCTTGTTTCCGAGAAAAGTGTTAGTGTTTGTCTCCCTTGAGGAAGACACAAACTAGTTCGGCCAATTTCATTTTGTTTACTAGCCAAAGTGGCTAGTGAGAATCAGAAACCTGTTAGCCAAAACTAAATTTCTTCTAGTCTGTGCCTAGTTGGTTATCGTTAGTGTCGAGCCCTGATTAAATTTTGCCGATACCCATCAATACATGTGGGTGGAGAGAGGCACAGTGAGGGTAATTTAAAAGTGTCTTGCACAATCAGAATCTTGAACACAACACAATGTCTCCAGCCTGGGCTCGAACCCAGACCGCTCAATCTAGAGTCGAGCACACTAATCAATTGAGGCCACTGCACCTTCCAGTGAATCAAATCAAATCATAACTATGACCAGTAGATAATGTTCATCTTCAGATGGAATATTGTTTTATTGGGATAAGGAAGCTCATTTATTTAGTATCAAACCTTCAACTGTGGGAGAAAGAACAATATACTAATGAGCAGCATTGATCACTGCAATTAAATTTGACTCAAGCAAAAATGCCGAAACTTTAAACAACATGATGAATGATGAAATAATCAATGATTAATTTTGTTGTTGTTGTTGTTTTATTTTATTTTTGGTATCCTTTTTGCCACACTAATTTTTTTTGTGTGTGTGTGACTGACAAATTTACATAACATGGAGCTAATGATATTTGTTTGTATGATGTTCTGTGTTTCTAGACTGATGATGAAGTTGACTGGCCATTGTTAAAACCTGACATATTTGCCTCTATAATGGATTTTTTTGCCAGCAATGTTCCTATTCTCACTGAAGACCAACCAGCAAGTGACACAGGTGACACTACTGTAGTATAAATGATTTACTAGCATTCCATCATGAATGCCGTTCTCTTATAAGTTGGTGGAATAACTGTAAAGAGCATTTAGATAAAGTTTAGAATGACCAGTAGATTCATACTAAAACAATGAGATTATTACATGTAGCTCTAGATTTCTCAGTTCTGTGTGTGATTGTTGATGAGGGCTATCATGTGTTAGTAAATCTACAAGCATTCTATCATGAATGCCATTCTCTGATTGGCTCTGCTACTCACTATCTATTCTGTTGTAGATATTGAGTACTTAGCATAGCAGCGTGCGCTGGGGGCCACTTTTTGTTTTCAAAGAGTCTTTGAAGAGGATTTACATGTACATGTAGCTTAAGTTTAAATGACTGCTAGATTTGTACTATAAACATTTAGATTGCGAGCTCAATATTTCTATGCATGATACTTGACTCGGACTGCGCCCTTGTCAACTACAGTATCACGC